TAATCTTTACTTATTTACAAGAAAAGCAAAAAATCACAAAGGCAATTGAGACGAGGGCAGCTTAAAAAGTACAGCACAGGGATATACGGAGCACCACAAAGATCCGGTATTCGCCGTCTTCATCAGCTGAAGAAATGTCCTCCACGAAGCTTCACGCCACAGAAAACACGGTCACTGGGCTGTCACGTGAAGCAGAAGAGCATGGCCCAGCTCAGAAAGCCGTGAGAAGCTATCCACAAGCACATTGCATTTCCACAAGCGTTGATAAACTGTCATTTCATTTCAAGTGGCACCAACTCTTTGATCTTTTCAGTTCACCTGTGGAGTTGATGTCTAGGATCCCCGGCTGAACAGGCCACCAGACCCATGGCCTCTGCAGCCACAGGAAGAAAGAAACAGGTCCTTCCAGTCTAGGTGGTGAGCACCCCCAGGCAAGGCCCCCACGGCCCCAGGACACCCATAGGCCCAGCACGGTAGCCTACCCTCTCCGCTGCAACCTGCTCTGAACACAGAAAAAGCAAGACCCCCCTCATCCAGTCACAGGGGCAGAAGGTGCAGTTTGAACCCCAAGTAGGACATCGAGAACAATGGGGAGAGCGTTGTCCAGTCACCACTTTGGGTGCGTGTAGATATGTGTGTTTTGTTAGAAGGGTAGGAAAGCAGTTTTATTTTAATATGAGGCCCAAAGTGTCATTAAAGGTGAAAGACAATCCACCACGAACAGTAAGGGGAAAAGGGAACCGAGGTTAGCCTGTGGCTTGGAGGGCGAGGCCACAGGCATGGAGGAAATCTGATTCGAGAAAGGAATGAATGGCTTTAAAACAACACACAGAGCAACAAGCGTGGGCCCAAGGGAGAGGCAAATTACAAAACGAGGGTAGAAGTGGAAAAAAAAGCGTTATAAGAAGGACAATCTTTGCTCTAAATGAATCATTCATCTAAAAAGCAAAGGAAGCTGGGAGAAAGTTTGCTAGACTTTACTTTTAATATTGTACTTAAAAGAACATTAGTTTTGGGCTGGGCGAGGTGGCTCACACCTGTAACCCCAGCACTTTGGGAGGCCGAGGTGGGAGAATCACTTGAGGTCAGGAGTTCGAGACCAGCTTGAGCAAGAGCAAGACCCCGTCTCTAGGACAATAGAAAAATTAGCTGGAGTGGTGGCACATGCCTGTAGTGCTGAGGCAGGAGGATCGCTTGAGCCCAGGAGTTTGAGACTGCAGTAAGCTATGATTGTGCTAGTGCACTCCAGCCTGGGTGACAGAAGGAGACCCTGTCTCTACAAAAAAAAAAAAAAAAAAAAAACCCCAACAACATATTTTTGTATTATTGTGTATTACAGAGGAAGGGCAGGGATAGCGCTCTAGGTCAACGTTTGCTATAACTAAGGGAGATCAATCCCTCTGCCGCTTAACTTTGCAGCCACTGTTGGCCAGCACCGCCTCCTCCGTTGTTAAATTGAAGGGGAAAGAGACCAAAAACCCACAAATGGCTAGTTCAGCCTAAATCTACATGGAGGAAAAGGGAAAAGTCCTACTGAGTGTTTAAAAATAATTCCTATTCAATGCTGTGTGTGGAAACAAAATTAAAATTCCCACAGTCTGGAACTGCTATTGGAGCTGGCGGGTCACACGTTGGATCTGAATGACGGGGTGACGAATGACGGGGTGACGAATGACAGGGCACATGGACGATGCTGGCCTCATTCTGCTTGTAGTTGCCAATCTGTAAAACAACCGCACTCTATCTTTTGGCAGGGCCACTAGAAAGGATTCTAACGTTCAACCAAGAATGAATAAAGGCCGGGCGCGGTGGCTCACGCCTGTAATCCTAGCACTCTGGGAGGCCGAGGCGGGCGGATTGCTCGAGGTCAGGAGTTTGAAACCAGCCTGAGCAAGAGCGAGACCCCGTCTCTACTACAAATAGAAAGGAATTAATTGGCCAACTAATATATATATAGAAAAAATTAGCCGGGCATGGTGGCGAATGCCTGTAGCCCCAGCTACTCGGGAGGCTGAGGCAGGAGGATTGCTTGAGCCCAGGAGTTTGAGGTTGCTGTGAGCTAGGCTGCCCCCACGGCACTCACTCTAGCCTGGGCAACAAAGTGAGACTCTGTCTCAAAAAAAAAAAAAAGAATGAATAAAAGGGACAGCGGCCCAGCCCGAGGGGCTGTGTGCACAGACCGTGGGCTCCAGCAGGGGGCGGTGCCACACAAGAATTACTATTAAGGAAAAACCAGGGCGCAGCCTCCTTTTCTAGTACCGCAAATCTTCTGTGTTGTTGAATAATAATCATTTAGTGCCACAAAAATAGGTGACTTGAGTTCAGCTTCTGCGTATTGGTGGGACATCCTAGAGTGATTTAAGCACTAACAATTTCAAACCTTACAAGTTTAAATCCCACGTGCCTCGTTGGAGACCCTTCCTCCAGTCCCCCGAGTGTCTGCGTGGGTGCCAGTGGTTTCTAGTGCTGCTTTGCTAACAGCAAATGAACCTCATTATAAGCAGTTTAGTCTGCAGTGTGGCCAACTTCACGTGGATCTCTACAGACAGAACTATGAGCCAAGCTCTTAAGTATTAATGAACTTTAAATTTTAACAATTATTTGATCGATTAGTCATAAAGTAACTGTCTTCCTTTCCACTCTCACCTTTGTAAAATATCAGCATGTTTATGCTATTGTAGTCCTTATTTGCTGTAAATCAACTTTATTTATTTATTTAATTTTATTTTGGGGACAGAGTCTCGAGTCTGTTGCCCGGGCTAGAGTACTATGGCATCAACCTAGCTCACGGCAACCTCAAACTCCTGGGCTCAAGCGATCCTCCTGCCTCAGCCTCCTGAGTAGCTGGGATTATAGGTGCGTGCCACCACACCCAGCTAATTTTTCTATTTTTAGTAGAGACAGGGTCTTCCTGTTGCTGAGGCTGGTGGTCTTGAACTCCTGACCTCCCGCCTCAGACTCCCAGAGTGCTAGGATTATAGGCATGAGCCACCGCCCCCGCCCGGCAGCCTTGGCTTTGAGGAGAGCAGGGCTTCGGCTGAGCTGAAGACTTGTGTGAAGATGAGGAAAGATTAGAGGAGGGCAGGGTGGTGGGGGGAGTGCTGTTTCAGTCCCCTCCGCCCCCAGGGTGCCCTTTCTTCCTGCTGGGCCTCTGCCCTTGGTCAGTCTGAGGTAGAGGAGTCTCTGGAAATAAGGAAAACCTTCCCCTCTTCCCTAAATGGCAAGCGGATGGCTGGAGGTGGGGTGGAGGTCCCACCTGCTCTTCCCTATTTTCTGTCTCAGTTTGGGGGAGGTGGAGGCCCAGAGGTGAGAGGAGGAAAGGGGACATTAAGGGGTGTTCCCTGCCACTCTCTTGCCCTTTTCCCCCTCCTGCTGCTCTGATGGTGGTCACAGGTGGTGCTGGCTGGTGCTGGGCTAAGGTGACATGTTGGCCTGGGTGGAGACAGTAGGAGGAAGGGTCTTTCTGGAGGCACCAGGGCAGGCAGTTGTGCACAGGACATTTGTCAGCCTGGGATCCAGTGACATTCCCCAGGGCTGGCAGGACAGAAGGAGGGATGCCTGTCACACTGCTGAAGGTCTGGTACAGCACAATGCTAAATAATCCCAACTGTGTTAGTGCCATTTCCCTAAAATGTCAAAAATGAATGCCAAAGTCCAGGTGCAATGGTTCGTGCCTGTAATCCTAGCATTTTGGGAAGCCAAGGTGGGAGGATCGCTTGAGGCCAGGAGTTCAAGACCAGCCTGAGCAAGAGAGACACCCTGTCTTTACAAAAAATTAAAAAATTAGCCAGGCATGGTGGTGCATGCCTGTAGTCCCAGCTACTGGGGAGGCTGAGGCAGGAGGATCGTTTGAGGCTGCAGTGAGCTATGATGACCACTGCATACAGAGCAAGGCCTCATCTTAAAAGAAAAACAAAGCCATCATGTCAAAATCCCTTTTCCATTTTCCCATGGTAAATTCCAGATTAATAAGTGACATATGTGTGTCATATGTAGCTTAATGACAATGCGATATAACAAACCAAGTTCGTAGAAGACTAGAACTCTCCCTAACAAGCCCTGCACAGGGCCTGCAAACTGGCTGACAGTAAGTATTTAACAATGGCCTCGTTGAACACCCATCTGCCAAAGAATCTGTTTTTCCAAATCTCTACATTTTGTTACTGGCTATTACTTTCCATATAGCTGGTGAGAAATCTGACAAGGCAAGATGAGCTAGGTAAGATGAGCACTTACTCAGAAGTGATGAGTAAGTCCTACAGTCGATTTTGCTAGAGTAGAGTTTACATCTGCTAAGGAAGTTGACTTCATGTATCAGCAACCTACTGAAAACCACCATAATTGTCAGTGGGAAAAAATGATAGTTTAGAAAGTAGCTTTGAGTTCACCCCAATCCTTCTGTTGTACTTAATCAGTGTTATTCATCATTTTTGCTTATTTTAATCAGGGACTTATACAGAATCCCCCCAAATTGAACAAGTGCCTTAATTTTCTAAGCCCATAGTCAAACTCAAACAGAACTTTGATAGAGATTGTCAACTAAACCAAGGCTTTGCCTTTTATCTCTTTTTTCCCCCAAAAGACCTTTCTAATAACAAACCCTCCGGTCTCCCATATTTTCCCTTCCCCCACAGCATCAAATAGGAACATTAGATATTCTCTGAAACAAATTTTTCATTTGGTTTAAAATCCTTTAGACCGGGCGTGGTGGCTCATGCCTGTAATCCTAGCATTCTTGGAGGCCAAGGCGGGAGGGAGGATCACTCAAGCTCAGGAGTTCGAAAACAGCCTCAGCAAGAGTGAGACCCTGTCTCTACTAAAAACAGAAAAGAAATTAATTTCCAACTAAAAATATATAGAAAAAAAAATTAGCTGGGCATGGTGGCGCATTCCTGTAGTCCCAGCTACTTGGGAGGCTGAGGCAGGAGGATCGCTTGAGCCCAGGAGTTTGAGGTTGCTGTGAACTAGGCTGACGCCACGGCACTCTAGCCCAGGCAACAGAGTGAGACTCTGTCTCAAAAAATAAAATAAAATAAAATCTTTAAAATTTGGATTTGACCCGCCCAGCAACAACATAAAGATTCCTCCTTCTTGGCTAAACTGCTTCGTAATGTCACAAGGTTCTGTTGGAAGCTGACAGTGGGTGCCAGAGGTGGTACATTTCACCAATGGTCCATGGGATTTTATTTCTTTCTTAACCGAGTTTCATCTCAGGGGTGGAGCACTCAGCACTAAACGGATTTTTTAAAAGAGTCCTGGGTAACAAAAGGGCGTTTTGAGTGTTCTCTTTGTCAGACACCAATCCCAAGGCCATGTCACCCCACTAGTTCCCGACTCTGTCCTTCTAATAACCATCCATTTTTATATTTCTTTTAAAAATACTCGAGCAAATGACATTGTTGGTAGTCCACAGATTGTAACAAGTATTTGAATAAAAAAAAGCAGCGCATATGCATGTGTTCTGAAGGATATTGCCACATAACACCAGCAGCTTGTTAATTAACCAAAGCACTTTATACCAAAAAGAGTAAACAAACCAACAAAACAGGGTAATTTCTCCTTGTTGTTTCCTTCTAAGTCATGGGAATGCCATGGATCACGAAGGCTCTTACATAGGATGATGCACGTATGTCCGGGGCCATGAACAGGCCCAGGTCCTACTGACATCTTCAGCAGTATTTAAAGGAGAGCATAATTTTATTTTGATCATGGCATGAATCCATTCTGATTGTATGCTTCGGCCCCTTTATGAGCCCACAAAATATTTTTTTTTCCAAATTGCAGATTCAAAGATTAAATTAAAACAGATGTGCAAAAATAAACAAATATCCACCACCAAAACAAACCCTACCCTTCCACAAAACCACCAGGTTTGGGGAAAACCAATGTCCACCGTTCCATGTCCTTATCCTAAACTCTTAGAACAGATCCACGTTCTTCCTTGACCTGTGGTTGTCTCAATGTCCCAAGAGGCTACAAGAAGGAAGAAGAGGAGCTCTAGAAGTGCCTGGGGTGGTCTCCACGCCCCCTCTTGGGCCACTCCTCATCCACCCACCTGCGCAGAACCTTCTCCACGTCCGCCCTGTGGTAGAGCCTGCAGAGCTCCATCAGCTGGCCCACCGTCCTCTGGCTGTTCCGCAGCAAGAACTCCAAGGTGGGGCTCTGCGGCCGCTGCTCCAGGAAGCACAGCTCATCGTAGGGCATGCCCCACTTGCTTGCGAAATTCCTCCAGTTCTTTACCGTGGGGTGACACGGATCCAGCTTTATCCTGATCACATCTAGCAAGTCCTGATCGTTGAGCAAGTCACTTATGGTGGGAGCCCGGAGCGAGCAGGAGGAACAAGTGCAGTTTTCTTTGCAGGACTCGTCCTTGCTGATGTCTACAGGGAGAAACAACACGGTGCACACGTCAGCAAGAAGAGGCTTAACATACACGTTCATTTCTCACATCCTTTATTTTCCTGCTGAATTGTCAATAGCATTCAGTCTGAGTATAACATAGCCCATCTTATAGAGGTCTATTTCGGAATACTCATTTCTAATACTGTGTTATTCTTTACAGCCAAGGACGGGTTGCTTTGCTAGAAGCAGTAGTGAGATTTTGTAAAGCCAGTTTCCCTTTCTCTCCGAGATGCTCTGTGTCTTACAGTGTGCATTTGTGACACTGCTGGCCAGAATAAGGGACAGAGCTCTGGCTGTGAGCAGATTGCCAGTCCAGTAGGAGTCAGAGTTCACCGTGCCCGGGAGTAACCAGCCTACACTTGCGGGACGCACCTCAACCCTGCAAGTTACCCGCCAGCCCTGACAGCTTCTTAACGCCAAACATAGCAAGCATGTCAGGGTGTAAAGGATTGCACAATGCTTTAAAAGGTCTTTTTAAAAGATACACACACGCAAAAATGAAAACTGGAATATCCACTCCATATACATATTTGAAAAGGAGTGATAATTGATAGTGCCAGAAAACCTACTTTTTAAAATTTATGGCCACCTTATCATTCCTCTGTGCCTTTATCTGAGCTTTCTTCACCCTTGGGGCTCCCTTTGAAGTGGAGCCAGCACCCTGGGGTGTGTGCGGTGAGAGAGACCGAGGCAGGGAACGAAAGGCAGCGGCACGCTCCCACCCCAGGCATCCCTCTTGCTGAGTCTTAAAGATTCAGTTGTCTTAAGCCTCATTTTCTTACGAGGACGCTTGTTAGCAGGAGGATGAAGTCAGTAGGGAAGAGGTGTTGGCAAGTCACTTAAAGTATTAAGCGGTGTCTACACAACACGGCAAATTAAATGGCTTAAATTCTGCAACAACACTGAGTCTCATGAGTCCTCTGAATTTGGATTTTAACAGCCAAAGGCTACTTTAGAGATCACCGGCTTGGAAACTTCTGGGGGAAGTTACGATGACTTTTACTACATGTGATATTACATTGAGTTGTGGGCTTCTCAATTTAGGAAAGGATTTGGACAGAGGGAGTCCCTTTGGTGCTCACAAAGTTGAGAACCAGCAAGTTCAAATTAAAAGGTCACAAAACAAGAGCCACGAAAATTATGCGCCTACTCTTTTGCTGACTAATGTGACTTCTGGGAATCCGCCTAAGCAGATAATCTAAAATATGTCTATACATTTTTATTACAGTGTTTATTTACATTATCAGTTTTTTTAGAGATGGGGTCTTGCTATATTGCCCAGGCTGGTATCAAATTCCAATCCTCAAGCAATCCTCCCGTCTCAGCCTCCCAAGGAGCTGGAAGTTCAGGCATGAGCCAACATGCTGGGTTTAACAACTTAAATGTCTACAGTTAGGGGGACTAGTGAAATAAATTATTGTACTACTTGATGAAATATTATTTAAGTAATTATGAAGACTACATAGCAAGCTAGAAAATGTGATGTTAAGTGAAAAATGCAAGATACAAAGAATGTATTCTATGATTAGAACCATGTGAAAATGTAAGTTAGTGTTACTATGCGGGAAATAGACAAATAATAATAGCTACTGTGTTAATATGGTAGGATTATGTTTCTATTTTCCAAACTTTCTCTAGTGGTGTTATATTTCTACGATAATTAAAACAATGTATTACATTGAACCTCTAGCTTAGCATAGAGAAGATTTATCAGTGGAGCATCCTTCCTCTTTTCCAAGTTGTGATTATACTTCTGAGTCTACCCTTCCTATCTTCTCCATGATGTGTTTCATCAAATGGCTCCTTTCTTTTCTCTCACCTTCAGCCTCCCATCTGTACTGATTCTCTCTCTATCTAAAAATAGATATATGTATCCTTTAACCTGAAAAATGAGAACCTCAAACTACCTTCTTCTGGCTTTATAACTAACTTGCTGAAGCCACTTTCTCTTTCTGCTCTTTAATTCACCATTAGAAGGAGAATTCAAAACCTGCTGCCTCCTTGCCTCACCATGTTCTTAATCTTCATCTTTGGCTTCCTGCAGCATCTGACCCAGCCCAGTTCCCACCCAGCCTTGTGGAGACTGGACCCGATTCTCTGTACCCCAACTGCTGGCTGGAGGCCAGTTCTGATTGGGCAGAAAAAGTCCCTCTCCCCGGAGGGAAGTCCCCTCTCAGATCGCCACATGGCTGGCTTCTTTGCATTGTTCAGGTCTCAGTGCCCCTCTTAGCTAAGGCAGCCCCTGCCCCTGCCAGGCCCAATCCCATCCCCCTCGCTTGCTATCCTCAAGGTACCCAACTTGTTTTGTGTTTATTATCTGTCTCTCCCAACTGGAATATAAGCTCCAAGAGGAAAATGACCTTCATGTTTCATGTCACCGCTGTATGCTGGTACTCAAGAAATATTTGTTGAATAAATCAAATGAAGGAAGAGTGTGATATAAAGAAATAGTCAAATTAGAAACCTCTGGGCAGCCCATGAAAAGCTATCTAGAAATTTTCAAACCAACTGACACACTTTTTTTTTAAAAAAAGATAGGCTCTCACTCTGTTGCCCGGGCTGGAGTGCAGTGGCATCATCTTAACTCACTGCAGCCTTGAACTGCTGGGTACAAGCAATTCTCCCATCTCAGCCTCTCGAGTAGCTGGGACTACAGGCATGCGTCACCAAGCTGGGCTAAATTTTTAAATTTTTTTAAGAGACGAGGTCTCATACCCCTGGCCTCAAGAGATCCTCCCGCCTCGGTCTCCCAAAGCGCTGGGATTACAGCAGGAGCCCCCGCACCTGGCCCCGACGGACACTTTTTTTGTTCAGTGCTAACTGAGCATGTCCACACACAGGGCTGACGAAAGCTGGCTGGTTGCTATGGAGAAGGCGTGCGCTGTGTACCGTGGAGACTAAGAGCGTGAGCTTCGGAGGCGGCTAACCCCTGGCAGATGTGCGACTTGGCCAGGTTGCTGAGCTTGCTAAGCCCACGTCTCACTCTCTGAACAGGGATAATGACACCTCCCTCACAGAGTGGTTGTGAGGATTAAATGAGATAATCCATCAGAGCTCCCTGCTAGCACACGGTAAGCAGGCAACCACGAACAGAACAGCCGTGGGTGAGTGTTAATAACCAACAGTCTTTTGAAAAGCAGTGGTTCTCAACCTGGGCAGCAGGATGGAAGCCCAGCCCCACCTGGGGGGAAATGTCTGGTCCCACCCTCGGAGATCCTTATTTAATTAGTCTGGGGTGCAGGCAAGACGTGGGGATTTTTAAAAGCTCCCTCCAGGGACTTCTAATGCGCAGACAGGATTGAAAATCACTGCCTGCCTTAAAGACAGAATAAGTACTAAGTACTTAGGCAGGAGGGCCTGCCAAAGTTAGATTTTGGAATTACATCCACTTCTCTTTGGGAGATATTGTGTCTGCTGGGTGATTAAGAATTCTAGGAGACAGCACGTTTCCCCACACTCACAAATAGATGAGTGGGTTTTCCTACAGGGCATTTTCTCTCCTTCTTTCCTTCCTCTTCATCCTTTCTCACAAATACACTTTAGGGAGTGGGGTAGAGACAGGATCTAGGCAACATAGGATCTCTCTATGTTACCCCGATGGTCTCGAACTCCTGGCCTCAAGAGATCCTCTAGCCTTGGTTTCCCAAAGTGCTGAGATTACAGGCATGCGCCACAGTGCCTGGCCAACACCATACATTATGCTTTAAAGAAGAGTCCAGGAATCAAGCATGTTCATTGATGTCATTTAAAACAATTGCAGGCCAGGTGTGGTGGCTCACGCCTGTAATCCTAGCACTTTGGGAGGCTGAGGTGGGATGATTGCTTGTGGCTAGGAGTTCGAGACCAGCCTGAGCAACATAGCGAGACCCCCATCTCTACAAAAAATAAAAAAAATTAGCTGGGCGTGGTGGTACGTGACTATAGTCCCAGCTACTCAAAAGGGTGAGGCAGGAGGATCGTTGGCCCCAAGTGTTTGAGGTTGCAGTGAGCTATGATGATGCCACTGCACTCTACCCCAGGCAATAGAGCAAGACCCTGTTTCAAGAAAAAAAAAAAAAAGTAAGAGAAGTTTAATGTCCAGTGGTGCCATGTCTAACTCTTAAGTATGGGGCTGGCAGGTTATAAAATGCCAGTCAATTAACAGTTAATTGTGAACTGGAACAAGATTCAGAATTCACAAAGGTCATGATTAGTTGAGCCTAGAAATGGCTCCCGCCAGGATGTTGGCAGTGGATCACAGATTGACTTAATGTGTCTCCCTGCAGGGGAGGTGCCCTTTCATCTTGCACACTCTGGCTTTCGGAGAGCTATTACCACGGGAGTGATCCCCCGCAATGTGTTCTAGGACCACAGTGAGCTCCCAAATCATTTACAAGTGTTCCCCGGGATAACCAGGTCTTGAGTTAATTCAAAACCATTAAGGAGTAAACATTTTATATTGGCATCTTTAGAGACAGCAAAGTATTGTGGTTCTGAAATAAAATAACGTTATCCCAGGTGTCTACACATTATTAGATCTGAAACCTGCAAAATACCAACAAGTGTCAAAGTAGAGTCCCATAATAAGTTGTGCTTATTGTGGGGATAAATTCATGCTTTTCTTTTTTCTGTGTGTGGTTTCCAATGTGGTTGGGAAAAAAACATTTACAATGTCAGTTGCTGGCTTTGATAAACCATTGCATTGGGATGCACGCATGCTACATTATTCATCAGAGGTAAGTTATATGCTAGGAGCTGGAAAGGGATGAAGAATTATTTTTATCTACTAAGAAATGGACCCAAGGGCTTTTGGTGGGCGTTTGATCTCTTTACCAAAGGGAAAAAACAACACAATTTCATTTTCTGTCTCCGAAACACCCTTTCAAGGAGACACCAAGTTGGCAGCGGCACTGGGGAATCTAACTGACAAACTGGGTGGGGCCAGGCAAGGAAATCACACTGGGCCTTGATGTTGTCATCTCACAAAATTGCAGTCTAGGAGACACATAAAAAAAGAAGCAAACTCTCCCATATGAAAGGACCCAGCTCAAAATTCAGCAAAGAATTTTATGTGAAGTTGAATCATGCAGTTCTGAAACGATGTAACCCAAACATATTAACCAAGTGTCACTTTATGGACCTAATTTGAAAAAAGAGAAAATCCTGTTTCACATGCATGTCTATGGGAAAGTCAGATTATTAGGCAAGTGCTGAGTTATGCAATGTCACCAGAAAATCATCCTAGAAACACCTGCAACAGGTGTGACAGTGTCAGGGCACATGTCATAACACTGCCACCAGAAAGGCGTAGCGGAAGCACGGTTTTTCTTCAATTCCTTCTTCAGTTTTTAAATCTAAGAGTTCAGTTTAAATCTAAGGCGTGGTGGCTTCAATTTATTGGGCACAGTGGGGAAATAAAAATCTTCCAATTTGGGGAATCTTTAAAATATATATGTATATTACTGAGTCTTATGCCTTTAGTGCCCAAATGTTTTCATTTTGAAAATTGATATAAAAACATCATCAAACTTTAATGTCTCCTTTAACAGGGTAAACTGGACAAAATTTGTTCTTGTTGTTTTAACCCAGGGCACCAGCAGAAAAGTCTGCTACTTTCTTGTTCTCTGCCTGGGCGCTGTCTGCATCTGTATTCTGTATTCAGTGGCTCCCAGTGGGAATTGTGTTCTCTTTCCTTGGTTACAAACTGTCAGCTGTCATTCCTCACTCCTGTCCAGTGTCCCTTCTCTGTCCCTTCTCGGTAGCGCCCTCCAGCTTCCCCATGTGGCTTATCTTAACCAGCTGTAGACTGGATCCCAGATAGCGAAGGTTTCCGAAAGATAAGAATTAACTGAAAGCTAGGCTCTGAGTCAAGGCTCTGAGTGAAGACTTTCCAGGGAAAGTCGCAAGCTTTTGCAAAAGGCATTTCGGCAGCCCAGAGATGGGACTTTCGGGAGAGTGGGGGCGGACTTTAGCTCTGTCTAAATTTCACCCTCCTGCGAGACACTCAGCCTCCCAGCTCCGTATAGGGAGCTGGCTTGGGGCCAGGCCCGGGCCTCGAATCCCACTCTCTCCCGTGTGACCGAGTCCTGCCTCTGTCGCCACATCTCTATGGTGAAGAGATAACGGGGCCATCCCGAGCTTTACATTTTGTCTTGTGTTCAGAGGGTGCCTGGTACCCGGCCTGTGCCAAATTAGTGTTTGTAAAGAAAGCAGAATTAAAACTGAAGTTGCTACCTCATCCAAAGACGAAATGTATGAATCTGCTTTTGCCTGTCGTTCACTCAAGAGCAAAGCCATTAGCAAAGTCAGTATCTCTCATCTATTTATTTATGGAACACAGAACAAGACACCTGGATGCTCCTTCGTGCCAGGCACCAGGCGAGGTGCTAGAGATGTGGACGAGAACAGCATGATTTCTGCTCGGGGCTGGGCCACGACATGCTACCACACTGCCTGCCGTTGCTGTGAAAAGTCCCTGGGCGGTCTTTGCATCTGTATATGGAGACATCTCTCCACCGTGGGGGCTTTTCATTTTCACACAGGTAAAAAATTTTGGAGACAACTAGAAACTTGATTAAAGTTAATCTATTAATTAATAATGACCCTAGGCCAGGCATGGTGGCTCATGCCTGTAATCATAGCACTCTGGGAGGCCAAGGCAAGAGCATCGCTTGAGGTCAGGAGTTCCAGACCAGCCTGAGCAACAGCGAGACCCCATCTCTACTAAAAATAGGAAAATTAGCTGGGCGTGGTGGCGCATGCCTGTAGTCCCAGCTACTCAGGAGGCTGAGGCAGGAGGATCGCTTGAGCCCAGGAGTTCGAGACCATCCTGAGGCAAGAGTGAGACCCTGTCTCTACAAAAAATAGAAAAATGAGCTGGCCATGGTGGCACATGCCTATAGTCCCAGCTACTCAGGAGGCTGAGGCAGGAGGATCGCTTGAGCCCAGGAGTTTGAGGTTGCTGTGAGCTAGGATTCCAGCCTGAGCAACACAGCAAGACCCTGTCTCAAAAAAAAGAAAGAAGGAAGGAAGGAAGGAAAGAAAAGAAATTTGTGCTTGTCATAAAAAATCTGAAAATTCAAATGAGTATATGGAGAAAAAAATTCATGCTCCCACTACCCAGACCCATCACAATGAAGCTTTCAGAGATTTCCTTGGTTATTTCACCGTGTGCTGTGTGTGTCTGCCTACATCTGATCATTTGTTATATATACATTTGTATACACAGATTAAATGGAGGAGGGGTTCTCATGCCAGCTCATGTTAGAAAATTTAGAAATATAGGATAGTGGAAAGAAAATTAAAATTGCCACTGTTTGTATGCAAACACACGTTCTGCTTTCCCATGTTATCCAACCAGGGGCTTCGAATTTGAGCCTGTGTCCGCTGCAGCATGTGTAGAAGAGGGAGTCCTATCAGCTAGGGCCAGCACTCTGGTAGGGGCAGGGTTTGGTCTAAAGAAGTCAAGTCCCAACGGGGTGTCCAGATGGGACCCTGGACATTGGGCCTGTCCTATGAAACCCAGCGGTAAGGTTCTACCTGAAGCTCACCTGGCCCAATGTCTCCCTTGACTTCTCATATCTCAGCCATGTGGTGGCCAACCTGGAACCAGAACCCCAACTTCTGTCCCCCCAGAGCTATCCTTTTGCCACAGGGCCTTCTCAGAAATCCTAGCCCACAGTGGGCCTTAATAAATAAAAATCTGTTGAACTGAAAAAATATCACTTAGAATCCCACCCTCAGAAATAACTGCTGTTAACATGTTGGTATATTTTCTAATATCATGTTTCTAAAGACAAAAAAAAAAAAAAGCTAAGCACATACTGCATGTTCTGATTTTCCCGACTGATTGATTACCCGGGCTGATTATAGCTGCCCCAGAGGGTTTCATGGGTCCCTCAGGCCTCTTAAAAAAGACAGAAACAAACAAAACTCTGATGACTCAGGGCATTCAATTTGTGTTTTAAACGATGTGGAAAATGTAGGTGGGGTTTTGGAGTTTTAAAAAATTATTATTTTGCTAACTTGTTTTAATGCTCACTCTGTATATTCCCTCTGATTAATTAATAAGAAATCTAAACACCATTAAAGTTTCTGTTTTATAATAAAAAAAAAAATGGGAAGTGGATGGGCACAGTGGCTCATGCTTATAATCTTAGGACTCTGGGAGGCCGAGGCAGGAGGACTGCCTGAGTTCGGGAGTTCGAGACCAGCCTGAGCAAAAGCGAGACCCCATCTCTACTAAAAATAAAAAAAAATTAGCTGGGCATGGTTGCGTGTGCCTGTAGTCCCAGCTACCTGGGAGGCTGAGCTCAAGGATCGCTTGAGCCCAGGAGTCTGAGGTTGCTGTGAGCTATGCTGATGCCATGGCACTCTAGCCTGGGCAACAGAGTGAGACTGTCTCAAAATAATAATAATAAAAAAAAAATGGGGAGGGAGGAGAAATAAACTTGAGTGTTTCTTTGGTCAAACACGCTAACCAAAAGGAGTGGAGAGTAACACGTGACCTAATGTCGGGCAGGTCCCTTTGGCTATGCAAGTGCCAGAGAGAGATGGCCCAGCTGATCTTGGCCTGCCTGAACTCCCAGGGTGGCCACTCTCTTCCACCAGACGACAATCGGCAATGACAAACTCACCAGGAGAGGAAGGGGCTGCTCAGTCCTGACTGTGGCTCTGGCCTAAACCTGCCCAATTCGGAACCTTTCTGTGCCCCTCACAAGCAAAGGAGGGCGAGCTCAGAGAAGATACTAAGTATTCTTTGAAGGCTTTTGTGAACTTTTGTAAGATACAACTTCCCTTGCGGTTTGCCCTGGCGCGAAGTGTGGACAGTTGCTCTCATCTGCAATACAGATTTTAAAAGTTAACGCTAAACACGGTCTCGAATACTATCTTTTAATGCAGCCACACGATTTACCACTGCAGCCCAGGTATCTTCAAAGTCAATCATTTACCTGAAAGGGGATCTCCAGTACTGTCTGGAAAGCCATTTTCTTCTCCCTAAAAACCAAAAAGCAACCTTCATTAAAATTATACCCGAAAATGAATGGAGATAATGATCAACATTCCAGCCTAGTTAAATTTCCACCAAAGCCTGGGCGGAGGGTGGAGCATAAGAATCACATTGTAATGGGCGGCGACAGGTGGCTCCCTCCCTAATACAAGCTCCCCGAGGGCAGGGGCTTTTGTTTACCTGCTCCCTGTGCTGTGTCCCAGTGCCCAGAGCTGTGCCTGCTACACAGCACACACTCAAGAAATATTTGCTAAATGCACTGGGGTTGCCATTTTAAACAATGGATCAATGCACGCAACGATGCACTAACATTTTATTTTTATGTTACATCATAAATTATTTTCCTTATTTTATTTCTTATCTGCCTTTTTGTTGGGCTTGTTGTTTGTTAGTCTAAGTTACAATTCTTTCCCTTATCTATTATACTTATTCATTTAAGTATATATTGCAAAGCAGCTGAAACTGAAAAAGTGGTGTCCAAATCTCTGGTGAGGGAAATAACCCTGTTTCTGCCCCTCTGGCTGGAGTTCTGTTTTTACAACCAAGGCCATGCTATGGCCTATGGTGAGAGGGATTCACTCCGATCTTCTTGGAGGGGTGTGTGTGTGTGTGTGTGTGTGTGTGTGTGTGTGTGTGAGAGTGTGTGTTTTCCATGAAGTCAGCAGGGGAGAGCAGTCCCGATACACCTTTGTTTATGTTAACCCTATTGTTTATGCAACTAAAATCTCCCTCATCAGCTAATGTCACCCCTTCCATCCATGATATTGCAGAAGTCACAGAAGAGTTGAGTCAAGAGCTCCGGGTTTCATACCCTCAGGCCCTCCCCGTCCCAGTGCTGGCCTGGGATCCCTCATTTGTGTACCCAGAGGGCTGCTGGATTAGCGTGGCTCAGAGCCCCTGCACTCTCAGGTCTCTGAGCGCTTCACCCCTAAAGACTGGCTAACTCCACAGTCTTAAGTGCTTTAAGCATTTTAAACAGTCTTCCTCTCTTAATCTTCTGAGAAGCCTTTCTCCTCACCCCAACCTCACCGATCCTGGTCTCGGCAGCTATGTTTGCCTAATCTCAAGTCTAATTTTTTTTCCCCCCCACACAGGAGCATTCCAATGTTTTACCACCTAGATTTCCCCCCCTAAGTAATATTATTATTATTATTATTATTTTTTTCTTTTCTTTTAGTACTACGTATCAGTGTATATTATTATTTTTTAAACAGAGTCTCACTCTGTTGCCCGGGCTAAAGTGCCATGGTGTCAGCCTAGCTCACTGCAGCCTCAAACTCCTGGCCTCAAGCGATCCTCCTGCCTCAGCCTCCCAGGTAGCAGGACTACAGGCCTGCGCCACCACGCCCGGCTAATTTTTTCTATTTTTGGTAGAGAAGGGGATCTCGCTCTTGCTCAGGCTGGTCTCAAACTCCTGAGCTCCAACAATCTGCCCGCCTGGGCCTCCCAGAGTGCTAGGATTACAGGCGAGAGCCACCACACCCGGCCTGCCACTAAGTGATCCTAAATACACCTTACTTCTGGTCAGGTCACCTTCCCCACCACTGTCTTTACTGCAACAGAAATGCAAACCGCTTACCATAATTTATATGATTTTTTTTCAGGTAGTTGAAGTTGTACTTTCTTCTCACATTTCCCTAATTCAGTGAGGAGTGTGTATGTACGTGTGTGCGTCAGACACACACACACAGAGAGAGAAAGTGTGTATAAGAGTTATAGGAAGTCTCCGAAGGCACAGAAATCTCTCTCTAGGCAAACTCGTACAAGGCTACACCCAGAAGCCCACGGCTCGGGGGCCACCGCACACGCCTGCACGGGTCCTGTGGAGACCTGCCCTTCCACACCTGCACACTCCCGCAGGACCGGGCAGGTGTGTGCGCCCTTTTATCAACACAGTCACGCTTCTGCTCACCGAATTGGAAACTCGGGCTGAGGAAGCAGAAACAGGAACTTCCAGTAGTGTCAAGATACCCAGATGTTAGAACTTGACAGATTTCTGTGGTATTTGAGGTCCCTGCTGAAACACAAACCTTTCTGTAAGTAGAAACTCTCTCTCTCTCATGGCGTATCTGACTTGATTTCTCATCATCTGGAGAAAATCGTACCACGGTACAAGGTCTGGCCAAAATCACCCCCGTGCCGCAGACAGGGAGCGTGACTCAGAATCACCTCTAGAGGCTGATACAGACAGGAGTTGGAGCCATACCCACCATCTGTGTTCTTGGCTCTGATTGGTGGGTTGTGCTACTTTGGACGTTAGTTTTCTAAGAGTGAAATCAGAAAAGACTTATTTTTGTATGTTTTATGGTCTTACTGAAACCACACTCATGCCTCTACTCAACTCCTATTTATTGAGCAGTTACTATGGACCAGCCCCCTTACTGGAGCCTGCGTACAAAGACAAAAGGACCTGAGCCCTTGACCTCAAGACGCTGTGCTGGGGAAAGGGGGAGCACTCGGATAAGCCAAACGTGTGAGGCAGAAGAGGGTGAGGTCCCACAGGCAGGTTCAGGGGAGGTCAGAGAGGAGAGGTTTCTTTCGACAAAAAAAGTGAGAGGTGGTTTCTTGGAGACAAAGGTGTTTGAGATGGGCCCTGCTGAGCAGCTGGGGAGTGGGGGATTGGAGGAAAGAGGCATTTGGTGGTAAGCAAAGGCAACGAGAGGGACAAGAGGGGATGGGAAGGGAAACAGACTGAGGCTTGTCCCAGGAGCCGGACGTCATTGCACAGACAATGGGGCGTCGCCGAGGGCTCTCATCAGAAGCAGGGCGTCCTCAGAGGTGTGTAGCTAGGACCAGGCTGCAGGGTGTGGGACAGACACATAGGGATAAGGGACGGTGTGGGGGCCAGGTGACAGGGACAGGGGAGGCAAGGGTTAATGAGACAGACCCCCACACCACTCTGGGAGACGGGGGGATGAAGCAAGAGCCATGCAGAGGTGCAGTCACTAAGGGATGAGCGAAAGGAGGTGAAGTACAGAGCACGTTTTGAAGAGGCGATGCCAGGCTCAGTCTCGGCGACCTTGAGTTGAAAACATGGTCCTGGGTCCCTGGGAGAGACCAGGGCAGGAGACGGAAACATGGATGTGAAAGTGATTCTGGAAGGAATGACCGGCAGCGGAGGCCAAGCTGCGAGGTCACAGCCAGAGCCCGAACGCCTACATTTCGGTGGCAGAGGATGGACGTCGGAGACGGGGGAGAGAAGAGCAGGAGGCGACAGGGTCAGAAGGTGCAGAAACGTCACGGGCTCTGAGGGCCGAGGGCAGACAAGATTTGCAAGGAGGAGACAGCAGCTCTAGTGGAGCTGGGAGGAGATACCAGCTGATGCCAGGTGGGCCACGAGACCCTGGAAATGGCCGGAAACCCTACGTGGGGTGCATCGGCCCGCAAGGCCACCCTCCTCGCCCTTTCCTCGGCTTTGTGTCCCTTATCTGCAAGGCCTCAGCCCAGACCTTGCCTCTTCTGGGCTGCTCTCTCCAAAGCCCAGAATGGGTTCCGTGCCCTGGCTGCTCCCCCAGCGCCCCGACCGCGCCAGCACGGGGGGCTTGCCCCACAGGCCTGCAGTCTCTCTCTGCTGTCTAGACTACAGACCAGAGGCCAAGGACCTGGTCTGCGGGCACCCTGGGGACTGGCACGTACGAGACAGCTAACGGCCCATATCTGCGGGAGGGAGGAAGGAAAGAGTACTCAAATCCAACCAGGGCATGGGCTACCGTTCTTCATGATGTTCTCCCTTGCTCACCCCCCAAAACCCCCTTCTGGTCTCACCCATATTCCTGCCTGCTTAGCCTCTGCCAAGCACCTGGGTGTTCAATTCCTCCACCAGCTAAAGCCCACGCCCACCCTCAGTTCTGCATGGACTCCACTCCACGGGGAGTTCCTGGGCCTCGAACCATACACAAGTCCCCCCCTATTCTAAGCCAACCTTCGAGATGAACCCCCCCATGCTGCCCCCCCCAATTCCCTCCAGGCATCTCAGTGACTGACAGCTGCGGCACACACGCCGCGTGCCGGGCACGTGACCCCTGACTGGGTTAGGACTACCAGGGCACCAGTGACGACACGCTGCAGAGTTCTGTTCAGACACCTTGTTTTCATTCGGGGTGAAGTTCCAGTATGAAGTGCTGGTTCCGTAGGAGAGAACAGTTTCTGAGCGAGGTTGGCTGTGTGTGCCGAAGACAAAGGTGCAAAGGAAATCGGTTTATAAAAACTGTGGATGCCAAGTGAGTAAAGGAATTAAAAATTCAATTTATACAAAATCTTGCAAAAGGCCAGGCTCGGTGGCTCACGTCTGTAATCCTAGCACCCTGGGAGGCCGAGGTGGGAGGATCGTTTGAGCTCAGGACTTCGAGACCAGCCTGAGCAAGAGCAAGACTCCCGTCTCTACTAACAAAATTGAAAGAAGTTAACTGGACGACTAAAATTACATAGGAAAAATTAGCCAGGCATGGTGGTGCATGCCTGTAGTCCCAGCTACTCGGGAGGCTGAGGCAGGAGGATCTCTTGGGCCCAGGAGTTTGAGGTTGCTGTGAGCTAGGCTGACAGCACGGCATTCTAGCCCAGGCAACAGAGTAAGACTCTGTCTCAAAAAGAAAAAAAAAATCCTGCAAAACAAAAGGGTAGTAAACTTGGAGCAACATTTTTTTTCTTAGAGACGGGGTCTTGGTATGTTGCTGAGGCTGGTCTCAAACTTCTAGCCTCATGTGATCCTCCCGCTTCAGCCTCCCAAAGTGCTGGGATTACAGGTGTGACCCACCATGCCCGGACCCACGGAGCAACTTCTAAAGTGGCTTAAAATCCTTCAGTTTAAGAGAGGAAAGGAACCATGACATTTTAGGCAAATCAGCACTATCAAGCTGCTATTTTACTATCCTTTCTTTCCTTTTTAAACTTCTACTCCAATTACCATATTTGCCTGAATATAAGTCAGGAAATTTAAAAACTTATCCCTGAGGAAAGAGGCAATTTCCTTTAAAATCCAAGTTCTTTT